CGCCTGAAGGGTGGAATGACTGGTCACTATGACATGCACTGACCACCAGGGGTCAGACACTCAACACAGGAGCTGTGTCCTGGTGGTGGTCAGTGCACTTCCACAAGGGGAGCACAGCTCAGCCAGAAGCCGGGCTCATGGCTGCCAAGTGCAGCGGCAGCGGCAGCGGCGGGACCCTCTCCCACCTCCATAGCAGCACTAAGGATGTCCAATTGATTGCTTAGAAGTTCAAAAGATTAAACCATCAGTCAGACATCCACTGAGGGTTCCCAGACTGAGAAAGGGCATAGGCTGGGCTGAGGAACCCCCACCCTCCCTGGTCTGTGCATGAATTTCACGCACTGGGCCTCTAGTAGGATAATAAGACACATGCATAAGTAAGCATAATACAAGAGAAGTTGTCAAGGAAAATTATACAGATTGAAAATGCTATCAGAGCCCAATAGAAGGAGATATTCTAGTGATAATGAGAAGTCAGCAAAACTTCATGGAAAAAGTAGCTGCTGAAATAGCTCTGGGCAAATAAGTATCAGAATTATGGGGGGAACGTAAGGAGCAAAACACAGAGGTGGGCAAGGGCAGGTTTGGGCAATGCCTGTATAGTTCTGGCTCCTGGCTTCAGGTCTATTTTTGTCCTGACTTATTCTACCAATTTCTTCTCCTTCCCGTCCTTGGAGCACTTTATTCTCTATTGTCTCTCCTCCCATTTGCTTAGCAAATTCATAATTTCTCTGCAAAACCTTCCCAGACCATCTTTGCCTTCAAACTTCAAGCTCTGTATTACTACCTCATTGCATGCCAAAACCTTATATACTTATCACACCTCAGTAAGAATTACATAGATTAAGGGTTTAACATCTACCTCACGGATTATAAATTCCAGGAAAAAACAGGAACTTTTTTCTGTCTTGTTCACTATTGTGATTCCTGAGCCTTAGCACAATACCTGGCACATTGAAGATATTAAATTGTTGATTATGAATTCTGGCAATATACTTTGTGTATTTTCACAATGTTTCTAGCTATGATAAATTACAGGACTTATGAGAAAGGTATATAAGCAAATTAATAGCCTAATTTATGTAGATTTCAATGATTTAAATAAATTTCATAGAAGACATAGTATGTATGTGCTAACACTGTGGTCAGCAAACTGTGGCTCACAAGCCACATGTGGCTCTTTGGCCCCTTGAGTGCGGCTCTTCCACAAAATACCACGGCCTGCGTGAGTCTATTTTGAAGAAGTGGTATTAGAAGTTGTTTAAAAAATGTGGCTCTCAAAAGAAATTTCAATCGTTGTACTGTTGATATTTGGCTCTGTTGACTGAGTTTGCCGACCACTGTGCAAACATATGTACAAACATCTTCCTTAGTGAAGGATCGGAAAAGTAAAAATTCTACAAAACCACCAACCATAAACGTACACAAAGAAATACTAAAATAGAAATTTCCATAATTCTCAAAGTACTTGATTTTAATAGACAGCACCTTCCATTTTATTTATTTATATTTTAAAATGTTTTTATTGATTTTTAGAGAGAGGGAGAGATAGAAACATTGATAAAAGAGAAGCACTGATTGGCTACCTCCTACACAGCTCCTACTAGAGATTAAGCCAACAACTTGGGCATGTGACCTGACCAGGAATTGACCTCTTGGCTCAACCACTGAGCCACACCAATTGGGTGCACCTTCCATTTTAGATATTACAGTCTTTAAACTTTTCCTTTTAAAAAAAAAACACTGAGAACATATATTTATAAAGTCACAGAGGAAGAAACAATTTTTAAAATATATATATATTTTATTGATTTTTTACAGAGAGGATGAGAGAGAATCATCGGTCAGCTGCCTCTTGCACACCCCTTTCTGGGGATATGCCTGCAACCAAGGTACATGCCCCTGACCGGAATCGAACCTGGGACCCTTCAGTCTGAAGGCCGAAGCTCTATCTACTGAGCCAAACCGGTTTCGGCGGAAGAAGCAATTTGTATAAGAAATGAACTTAAGCCGGAACCGGTTTGGCTCAGTGGATAGAGCATCGGCCTGCAGACTGAAGGGTCCCAGGTTCGATTCTGGTGAAAGGCATGTACCTTGGTTGCGGGCACATCCCCAGTAGGGAATGTGCAAGAGGCAGCTGATCAATGTCTCTTTCTTATCAAAGTTTCTAACTCTCTATCCCTCTCTGTAAAAAAAATCAATAAATATATTTTTAAAAAATGAACTTAAGAACAAGTTATAGAGGTAAAGGAAGGGCCCTTGGAGCTTGGGAGTGAGGAAGGTAATGGTAAAATGCCCTGGTGGGGAAGGGACAGGGACAGGGACAGGGAATGGTGTGGGCATGCTCCTCACAGTACCTATAATTTTACTTTTTTAGTCACATACAAGTCTGTTTACTCAAAGTTTAAGCTAAACTCAAAATATGCCCAATATTTGAATTTAATACCTAACCAATATTCACTTACTATGTTATCTTTAATTTTAATATCTAGTCAATATTCACTTTGTTTCATAAGACTTTCTAGGTCCAAATAAAAGAAAAAATTTTAACAGTGTCCATATACCCAATCTATACTAATAACAGGGAAATATGCTAATTAGACTGGAAATCTTTCAGATGTTCTTCTGGACAAAGCCATGGTACAGGGGGCAGAAGCAGAGGCGGTTAGGAGCCATGAGGCCAACAGGGGAGAGAAGTTAAGGGCGATGAGGCCAGCAGGGGAAAGCAGTTAGGGGTGAAGAGGCTGACAGGGGAGGGCATTTAGGGGCAATCAGGCCGGCAGGCAAAGCAGGTTAGGGGGGGATCAGGCAGGGAGGCAGGTGAGCGGTTAGGAGCCAGCAGACCCGAATTGCAAGAGGGCTCATGGATTGGAGGATATAGACTGGCTAAGGGACCCCTGCTCCTAGTGAATTTATAATTTTTCTCTCTGTAACAAGATCCCAATACTTCAATACCAAATTTATATCAATTAGAAGGGACAATATCCAATCTGATAACTAGTTATCTCAGATTTACTGAATTGGTATTCAAGAAAATTATTAAAATTTCTAATGTTTGAATCTAAGGTTGCTTCCTAATTCCAACTGGATTTGAATGATACTTTTTCAATTTTATAATTAAGTATTAGAAAAATTTTATTGTGAAAACTGAAGAATATATTGAATATGCTTTGTTTTCTAAGTCTGACTTTCTAACTGTAAGTTACTGGCACTTAGGAAAACAACAATCATTTCAATGAAAATTAAATATATAAAGCCTATGTTTAAAACATGGCTTTATTAATACTGCCCACTGAGCTCTATTTTTATTTTACATTGAAATACTTCTGCTTTATAAAGAAAAGACAGAGAGGTGCATTTTACAAGAGTACTTTTTTGTTTTTAATTCTCTGTGAAAATGGAAGGATTCTGAATCACAAGTTCACAATGCGGTAAAATGAAATTAAGAAACAATGATTTTAGTAATGCTATGCCATCACTAGTGTTTGGCTCTGACTTGGTTGGTGTAAATCAGATCCTGATATACAGTCTAGAGCATCTAGGTTATTACTCTACAGCATATTAAACACAGAAAGGAAGTTAAAAAAAAAACCTTTCAATGTACAAACATGAATTTAAAAACCGATTTTAAAAAATCACGTTTTTACATAATGTATATGGCAAAACTGCTTTAAATACACGGTTTTGGAAGAATTATTTACAAAATGTATCAGTCTGTGGAACAATTCACAGACATAGCATACATAATTGCTTTTCTTGGTTGTTGCATCTCAACTTTGGGAGATATAAATTCATTCGGCAGTAATAGCAAACATAAAAACTGTGACAAAGTATCTTAAGGGCAACCAAAAATTTGATCCTCAAAACAGTTTAAATACTAGGACTGCCAAAGTGTCTAAAAGAGGATGTCCTTTAATGATCCAGATGCCCATTCATAGATCATACTGTTTGAAGGACTGAGACAGACTCCCTTCAATACAAGCAGAGCTGCTGGTGCAGCATCCTGTAAGAGGGACAGCTGAGAGCTACGTCATCCAAAAAGTGAATTAACCTAGATTTTTCTTTTTTTCAATTTTATTAATATTTTAAAAAATACATAAAAATACAACATCCAATGTCTGAATAAATATATTTAACAAGTTGCAAGATAATACCTTATTTTACACAAAAATTTCAGCTTTAGAAATCTTGTTAAATAACTTCATTGTTGTTATATATTTCATTTTTGTCTTTTTGTAACAAAATAAAAACTCTGAAATTACATAGAAAAAAGACAAAATATTTTTGTCAAGGGATAAGATAGTCCACTGAAAACTTATTCACAATCCACTGTAAACATTAATAAACATTAAAATATTTGCATAATTGTGTGCTCAAAAATACTATAAAAAGTGGAAGACTTATTACAACTGTAGTTTTCAGTCAACTACACTTCCTTTCACAATTTATTTTGTCCCATTTACACTTTAAACCTGGGCACACTGCTGAACATATACTTTGGCAGTTCTACATAGCAAGTGCTTCCACAAAAATAAAAAACGACGACGACAATAAAAACAAAAACACACAACATAAACCCCCTACTCACCAAGTGTTCAGTCCACCTTAGTGAAAGTGCAGCAGTAACTATTCAGCTGGATAATGTTTTGATGTTTATCATGTGCACTTGCCTGTCTATGATTTCTATAACACCTGAAAGCTTTATTATACAAATTCATATTTGCTAAGTGCCCTTTTTCTATCTTCACAAAAAATAAAAATATGGAAGAAAAATTATGACAAATACATCAAACTGCCTAAATTTCAGTTATTAATCAGCTTATATTTTGCAACAGAAAAAAAGAAAAGAAGGGAATAGATACCATCCAGCCTGGAAGGGTCGACAGGATATAGGTACTTAGCAATGTCAAGCCAGTTGAGTGCTTTCTGTGGTGGTATTTCAGAGTTTTGGGATTTATGTCCATGGCAGCAAACTGCTGAGAAGGCAGAGGAAACGAGTATCACCTCCATTCTTCAGGAAGTACATTTTGTGGGGGCGATGATGATGAGGGACTCATTCCAGTGTCTGATGAAGCAGATGACATGGAGGCTTCTGCGTGAGACACTGTGGAAGCAAAACGACTACATGAGACTCAAGAACTATCGTGCAAAGATGCCCAGTCACTGGCAAGTTAGGAATTCACATTATTCTCTTCAGTTGTAGTTTTCTTAGATGATGCATGTAGGAATAAACTGTCAGCTCAAATGGGTAGAATCAGTCTCTGGTCAGTAAAGTAACTCAGATAAAAAAAAAAAAAGCAATATAATTTTTTAAATATTAAAAAGACAAACTCTTATTTTAAAAATATATTTTATTGATATTTTACAGAGAGAAAGGGAGAGGGATAGTTAGAAACATCGATAAGAGAGAAACACTGGTCAGCTGCCTCCTGCACACCCCCTACTGGGGATGTACCTGCAACCAAAGTACATGCCCTTGACTGGAATCGAACCTGGGACCCTTCAGTTCCCAGGCTGACGCTCTATCTACTGAGCCAAACCGATTAGGGCTCTTTTATTTTAAAGCCTAAGATTTCCAGAGCCTCTTTTTTTATTATTTATTGATTTTTAGAGAGAGAGGGGGGGGGGAGAGAAAGAGAGAAAGAAACATTGATTTGTTGTTCTACTTTTTTTCTGCACTCATTGGTTGCTTCTTATATGTGCCCAGACCTGAAATTGAACCTGAAACCTTGGCAAATCTAGATGCTGCTCTAACCAACTGAGCTTCCCAGCAAGGGCCTGAAACTCTTAAACCCCTATTTAAAGGTCCCTAGAAGGAATTCACCCTGCCTCCTGTACCCCCTCGACTAGGGATCAAACCCGAAACCCGGGCATGTGCCCTGACCGGGAGTCAAATTGCAAACCTCCTGGTTCATAGGTTCATGCTCAATCAATGAGCGATGCCAGTTGAGTCAGTTGTTCTTACTTTATAGAACATCCTATATAATAAGAGGAATATGCTAATTATCTATTACACCCTGAGGCTTAATATCCAACCATGTAATGACCGAATCACGGATCTGCAGGAGGGTGGGGCAGGAAACTACAAACAGGTGGTGGAGAGCTACAGGAGGGGGCAGGGCAGCAAGCTATGAGGGGGAGCCAGGGGAAGCTACAGGAGGGTTGCAGCGACCTTCTGGAGCATGGATTCTTGTGCTTAGTTATTCAATAAGTTTCAATTGTTGTTTAAGTATGTCTCTTAAGAGTGTGTGTACTACCAATATAACAAACTCATTACTACAAATTTTAAAATGTATGATAGAAGTCTCACTTCAACTACAAAAAACTAAGAGAACAGAACAGGGAAGGAAAATCTTATCAATTGTCTGAAACTTATATCACATTTAGGAAACTCAAAAGTGTTGAGGGTTCTCTGAAGAAATTTCAATTTAACTTGCCCTTTCCTTCTTTCTGTGTTTAAAAATTTTGTTAAGTCTTCTTGCTGTTTACAGTACAGTAAAGACAAACATGGAAATAATTTCCCTTTTAACTCAACCTTTCCATTTGCTCCAACATATTTCCACGAATTAAAAACTGTTGCAATTGCACTGGGAATAGAACGACTCAAGACCACATATGATACAGGTCATTCTGTCAGTAATTCATTCTTTAACTCTCTGCCTTAGGCAAAAAGTCCTCTCAGTGCAGGTAATTCACTTTTATTTTTTAAAGAAACAGCCCTCCCAGAACCCGCCTCTCCTGACCCATCCTGCTCCTGGAGTAGTTGCTCTCTAGGGCTGCTATGCAATGGTCAGCCTAGTGCTTTCCCTCGCCATCCTGAGATTTTCCTTACTGTTTTTCTATGTGGAATTCCATTATTTGCTGGATCTCATGTTGTCTTCTTAGTTCCCAGTGCTACCATTAAGAAATGTGACAGCCGCCGAAACCTGTTTGGCTCAGTGGTAGAGCATCAGTCTGCGGACTGAAAGGTCCCAGGTTCAATTCCGCTCAAGGGCATGTGCCTTGGTTGTGGGCACATCCCTGGTGGGGGGTGTGCAAGAGGCAACAGGTTGATGTTTCTCTCATTGACGTTTCTAGCTCTCTATCTCTCTCCCTTCCTCTCTGTAAAAAAATCAATAAAATATATTAAAAAAAGAAAAAAAAGAAATGTGACAGCCTAAACCGGTTGAGCTCAGTGGATAGAGTGATGGCCTGGGGACTGAAGAGTCCCAGGTTCGATTCTGATTAAGGCCATGTACCTTGGTTGCAGGCACAACCCCAGTAGGGGGTGTACAAAAGGCAGCTGATTGATGTTTCTAATTCTCTATCCCTCTCTCTTCCTCTCTGTAAAAAATCAATAAATTATATTTTAAAATAAAGAAATGTGACATGAGAAACCTCATGCCATTCTGATACCCTTTTTTTTTTGTATGTGCCTTTATATGGTAAACTTTTTGAATCTTCTCTTTATCCATAGGGTTCTGAAATTTCATAACATGTTTTGGTGTAATTTTTCTCTCCCTCACAGAGGTCACAGTGAGTCCTTTCAATCATCTATCTCATATCCTTCAGTTCTGGAAATCTTTCTTATAATACTGCTTTGATGACAACTTTCTCCTATGTTTATTCAGTACTTTTTCTAGAAATCCTATGATTCAGAATATGTCTGATTCTCTCCTATTGTCTTTTTGACTTCCTACTGGGATTTCTTTAGCTTTGCTATTTATCCATTCTATTACATCTTTTTACAAATTCCTGCTTTTTACAAATTCCTCCAATCTGGGACATCCCTCTCACAATCCTGGACCACTGGCTCCTAACTACTCACCTGCCTGCTTGATCACCCCTAACTGCCCCCCTACCAGCCTAGTCACCAACTGCCCCCCCCCCGTTGGCCTGGTCGCCCCAAACCCCCCACGCCAGCCTGGTTGCCCCCAACTGTCCCCCTCTCCCGACCTGGTCACCCCTCAATACCTCCCTCTGCCAGCCTAGTAGCCCCTTACTGCCCCCCATGGTGGCCTGGTCACCCCTAACTACCCCCTCACCTGGTCACCCCTCACTGTCCCCCTTTGCTGGCCTGGTTACCCCCAACTGCCCCCCTTGAAGGCCTAGTTGCCCCAAGCAGCCTGCTGCTTGGTTGTTTGGTCACCTCTCCACTGACCCCACTGATGACCTGGTCACCCTACGTAGCCTGTTCAGTCATCTGTTTGTTTGCGATGGTCACTTAGGCTTTTATATATAGAGTGGTAGTTGCTTAGGAAATGACTTATGATCACAACAATCTGGTGAACCTCATAACAAATACAGTACCTATTAATAGGCAGCCATTAAAATATTGTGCAAAGAGTGAATTCCAAGCAAGTCAACTCTTGAGAACCCACCACATTTAGTAAAATCACACATTTTGTAAAACAGATCATGGTCGCTTTCAAGAGTCTCATTCTGATTAATTCAGTTGATTAATTTCAACAGCAACAAAGAAGAAAATACTAAGAATCTAAAAACAACAATTAATAAATATATACTATATTCAAGGAGGGGCAAACCTATATGTTCTAAGATGATATAGGCTATATATTAAAAAAAGGAAAGAAAAATTATAATCAAATTACCTTCTCTGTCTTTCTTTTTTAATCTTTTTCTCTTCCTGTCGATGGTTGCAACTTCAGACTTTAAAGACATGTAATATTTTCTGATTTCCTGTAGTTTTTCTTGGAGAAAAGAGATTCTCTCTGTACTGTTCATATTATCTAATTCATCTAAGAGTGGAAAACATTAATTAGAATTTAAAAATAATTCTTTCAGGAAAAATATGGCAATTCTTCAGAAGTCCAACTTATAAATCATCAAAAGTTTTAGTTTATTAAAATTTATATTGTGCTAGTGAGTCTTTATAAACAGGGATGACATTAATTAATTTCAGGAATAAGATTTTTTTATGTAGCCCAATATTTCCATACTAAACATTACTTGATATTTTAAATGATTAAAAAAAAAGAATCAAAACACACAAAAAAAAGAAAAGAAAAAAAAGAAAAACACAAAAAAAAAAACACAGCAATACTGAACTATAATTGTAGTTATTTATTCAAATAGCTTCTTTATGTTGATGGCTTATCATTTACTAGTTATTTTCATATTAGAAAAGGTAATTATTTCATCAATTCATATAAATAAGACATGTCTTATTTCCTAACTGGAGATTTTCCTTCAGTGAAAAATTAACAAGTTAGTATTATAAAATGACGTGGATTTGTAACAAATGATGATTACTGGGAAGACAGTATTTGGAAACCAAAATAAATGAATTTGATAGTCATTTATTCCTCATTTTGACATCTCAAGATATATACCACTTTACAATATACATTCAAGTTTTTTATAAGCTTCTTACTGAGTTGAAAGCTCCACTTATATGTCCTAGGGGATGAATTCAGATGTTTTTCTCTGTGTTTATTTTTTTCTCCATCTTTGATGTGAGGAGATATTCTTGCAGGAGATCGTGCAAGCTTCTGTGGCTTAGATACACCAAGATGCTTTACTGGGGTACATTTACTTGAGTTATCTATGGCAGGAAGATCTTCACTATCACTACTTTGTCCTATAATAACAACAAAAAATTGACTCAGATTAGAAAATATATAAATCTCAAATATCAATATGCAACAGAACCAGCAATTACACTTTTTGGTATCCTACAGAAATAAGTACACAATGTGCATAGTTTTTTTGTTTGTTTTTTAAGGAAAATCTAAATGACTACCTATAGGGAAATGGTTAAAAATAATATACTATTGAGTACTTTGCTAAAGTTGTTGAACAAGAATGAACTAGAGATCTAGTTTGGTTCAGTGGATAGAGCGTTGGCCTGCGGACTGAAGGGTTCCAGGTTCGATTCTAGTCGATGGCACATGCTTGGGTTGCAGGCTCAACCCCCCCAGAAGGGGGCATGCAAGAGAATCAATGATTCTCTCTCAACATTGATATATCTCTCTCGCCCTTTCTAAAATCAATAAAGAAAACCTACTGAAACTATACACACACACACACACACACACACACACAAAGAAAGATTAAAAAAACACTTTTTTTTTTTTTTTTTTTTTAGGGAGGAAGGGAGAGGGAGAAAGAGATAGAAATATGAGAATCATTGATCGGCTGCCTCCTGCATGCCCCCTACTGGGGATTGAGCCTGCAACCCAAGCATGTGCCCTTGACTGGAATCGAACATGGGACCCTTCAGTCTGCAGGCCAACACTCTATCCACTGAGCCAAATCCGTATGGCAAGAAAGATCTTGATGTACATATGTATAATAAAATGTGAGCAAATATTTGTTTAAAACTCTACATCCCTCCTCACCTAATCTGTATTAGAGATGCTTTTGGTTTTCACTTAATAACAAATGAGAATTGCCCCTCAATTTTACATTTCTGAAGTTCTATACCTTACTTCCACCCTATTCTCTCTCAAAAGCAAACCTTGCTTTCAAATGAAAAGGCATTTTCCCAGCCCCTGCCCTACCTGTATCTGTCCTCGCTGCCCATTTGGCTTCAAAACAAGAAAACCATTTCTGACAAACTAATCTCTTTAGCTATACTCTTAAAACCATCTACTTTCAGCTCCTCTGGAATTCCCAATGTCAATTCACCATCTTCATTTAACTTCAATTTTCCTCGGTCTACCAACAGGCTTAGATGTTTCCCACCCTGAGAGAGGGAGGGGAGAAAAAGCTTTTCCCTTTACTCAGCGCTTCTTTCCTCCTCTTTAAGGGCAAATTTCTTCAAAGAAATTCTCTGTTACCTTGATTTACACACCTTCTGACACATCACTGTGCTATTATTACAGTCCCAAATACTTATGATGGCCAGATTCAATGACTATATTTAAATCTTATTGACTATTCTTCAGCATTTGGAACGCCTTTCTTATTCAAACCCACTTGTTTAGCTGAAACCAGTTTGGCTCAGTGGATAGAGGGTCCCAGGTTCGATTCCGGTCAAGGGCATGTACATTGGTTGTGGGCACATCCCTAGTAGGGGATTTGCAGGAGGCAGCTGGTCGATGTTTCTCTTTCATCAATGTTTCTAGTTCTCTATCCCTCTTCCTGTAAAAAAAAATCAATAACATATATATATATATATATATATATATATATATATATATATATATATTTTTTTTTTTTTTTTTTTTTTTTTTTTTTAAAACCACTCGTTTGCCGAAACTGGTTTGGCTCAGTGGTAAAGCGTCGGTCTGCGGACTGAAAGGTCCCAGGTTGATTCTGGTCAAGGGCATGTACATTGCTTGCAGGCACATCCCCAGTAGGGGGTGTGCAAGAGGCAGCTGGTCGATGTTTCTCTCTCATCGATGTTTCTAGCTCTCTATCCCTCTCTCCTCCTCTCTGTAAAAAATCAATAAAAATATATTAAAAAAAAACAAAAACCCATTCGTTTACTGATTTTTAAAAAAATATATATTTTATTGATTTTGTACAGAGAGGAAGGGAGAGAGATAGAGAGTTAGAAACATCGATGAGAGAGAGTCCTCGATCAGCTGCCTCTTGCACACCCCCTACTGGGGATATGCCCGCAACCAAGGTACATGCCCTTGACTGGAATCGAACCCAGGACCCTTCAGTCCCCAAGCCGACGCTCTATCCATTGAGCCAAACTGGTCTCGGCCATTTACTGATTTTAATTTATCTTAGATCAGTTTCTAGTCTACTCTTCCCGGCTGACCCATATAAAGAGATATCTTACATAATTATACTCTTGGTCCTTTTCCTTCCTTTTTTTTCAATCACAGTTTACATTCAATATTACTTTGTATTAGTTTCAAGTACAGCATAATGGCTAGACAATCATATACATTACAAAGTGTTCCCCCTGATATGTACAGTACCCACCTGGCACCACACAGGTACTACAACATTTCCTATGCTGTACTTTACTTTTTCTCATTTTATTCTCCCCTAGCAATCTCACTGTCTTGCACTCCTTTGACAACTATCTTCTAAAAACAAACTTTCTTCTAAGCTCAAGGCCCCAATGTTCCTAATACTGGGTACCTCTAACTCAACAATCCCTAAATTACTCTTCCAACAACCTGGTCATGTTCCTGTGTTCAATATGTTAATTCCTCATAACGTTAACTGAGTTCTAGTGATTCTGTTTCCTTCCTTCACTGCCTTAGTTAGTTAAGCCTAAGATTCTTTCCAAAAAGTAAAACTCATCCCTCTCCTTTCCTCCTTTTCAATCTTTTTAACTTTTTATTTATGAGAGCATTTTCAACCTTACAAAAAATTTATAAGTGTAGCTGCCAAAAAAATGTTTTTCTGACCCATTTGAAAATTAATTGCCCTTCCATACTTGAGTATTTTAGTGCTTATTTCTTTAAAAACAAGAACATTTTCCTATGTATAGTCATGGACAAATTACACCAAATCTTAGATTACATCTTAAACAGATGTTTAGTATCTCATGAGGAATCTGAGGGTCAGACTCTGGGAGCAGCTTGGCTGTGTGGTCTGGACCGGGAGATCTGATAAGATTGCAGTCAAGCTTTTAGCTGAAACTGTGGTGCCTGAAGACTTGACTGAAGCCAGAGGATATGCTTTCCAGGTGACTCATGTCATGGCTGTTGTCAGGAGGCCTCAGTTTCCTGCTTGCTGTTGGCAGGATATGTTCAGTTCCTTACAACCTGGGCCTCTTCATAGACTGTTTGAGTATCCTCACAGTATGACAGCTAACTTCTCCCAGAGAAAGTGATCCAAAGGAGAGCAAGGAGGAATTTATGGTGCCTTTTATGACTTATTCTCCAGAGCTGTAGTCTATCACTTCCACTTTGTTAGAAGTGAGTCACTAAATTCAGCCCACACTCTAGGGGAGAGAATTATCTTTGTCTCTTGAGAAGAGTATCAACAAATTTGTGGAAATGTTTTGAAAACCACCACACTCCTACGGAACCAAAATTCAACCATCAAAATCAAGAAATTAACACAAATATATTGCTATTGTCTAATCCTCAGGTCCATACAAGTTGCTCTATTTTATAGCAATAGGTTCCAGGTGAGAATCACACATTGCATTTAGTTGTCACATCTCATAAGTCTCCTTTCAATCTGCAACAATTCTTCTTTCTTTGATTTTCATGACCTTGACAATTTTAGAAATTATTTTATAGAATATCCTGCAGTTTGAATTTGTTGATTGTTTCTCATGATTACATTCAGGTTATACATCTTTGAGAGGAAATCACAGATGTGCTGCTATGTTCTTATTACTGCATTGTGTCAGATGGTACATAGTTTCAATTTGTCCCATTATTGTTGGTGCTCACTTTGATCATCTAATTAAGGTGGTGCCCACCAGTCTTATCCACTATAAAGTTACTCATTTTCTCTTTGTAATTCCTGCTACCTTTCTAGTCTCATTTCCCATCTCTCTTTCTCTATACTCAAGTCCTGTATTGTCCAGCCACATAAAGGCTACTGAGCACCTGAAATGCCTTATATAAATTATATGCTCTTTCTTTGGCACATGTATCTAGTATAACCTAGAGCAGTGGTCGGCAAACTCTTTAGTCAACAGAGCCAAAAATTAACAGTACAATGATTGAAATTTCTTTTGAGAGCCAAATTTTTTAAACTTAAACTTCTTCAAAATAGACTCACCCAGGCCATGGTATTTTGTGGAAGAGCCACACTCAAGGGGCTAAAGAGCCACATGTGGCTCACGAGCCGCAGTTTGCCAACCACGAACTTAGAGTATCCCTTTTAGACTTGTATGAAGGCAGGTTTTGAAGGTAAAACTTTAATTTGTCAAAATCAACCATGTATATTTCTACTATATTCTATGACTTAATTTTATTCCTTATTGTACAGAAGTTTGTTTTTCATGTTATCTATTCATATGAATTTTCTTGTTTTTTATTTCCCCATGTTTTAAAATTACCAAACCATTTAGCAATTAGCTTTTCTAGATATAAGAAAAATATCCCATTCAGAAATGTAAACTTAATCTGCTTGTACCACTACAGAAATTTTATTCAAGTTTCCAAAATACGTTCCTCTAATATTGAACGCTTTACATAAAAAATACAAGTAGGCATAATAATCACAGCTATTTTAGTTCTAAATAAAATTGATAAGCACCTCAGATTAAAAATTAATGGGAAAACTGCTATTTTAGAATACAATAAACCAAATTTATTTTTACATTGACACAAATGATCAAGCCAACGAATTGAGCATTGAAAAGCACCAACCTGCTCCATTCTTCTCATTTTTGGCTACAGCATTTGTTCGCTTTGGGGTACGCTTTTGCTTTTTTGCCAGTAATCCACTATTTCCCTCACTTGGTCTTTTCTGACCTGAAAAAAAGGGAAAGAGATCTTGAAAAGTCAATAACAAGTATATGTATTCACTTGTACAAATGAATAATAGATATATATATATATTAGTTAAAAATAACAATATGTATATAAATGTCATACATTTATAAAAAGGGTTGGGGAAAGGAAATAGAGAGAGTAAGGAAGGACAGAAAAAAGGAAAGGAAGACAGGGTGGAAGAAATGGAACATATTTTATAGATCCAGAGTTCCTAAACTCTTAATTTACTAATACTTGGTTTTAATATATGGGCTGATTTTTTCCCCTGAAAAGTCCTTACCCTTCTCTCTGCTCTCTCTTTCTTGAACAATTATACTACAGGCAGCAGAGGTGATGGTGTCTTCAAATCCATTTGCTGATTCCCTCTCACAGAGGGCTTCTTGAGATTCTTCAGCAATACTATCCACTTCTATGGTTATGTCACTCTCACTTTTTATACTTCGAGACTCATCTTGACTGAGAGTAAGTGGTGAAGCTACTGAAAAGTTATGCTGTACTACAGAAGGTAGGGTGGATGGAATAGAAACAAGAGAGTTAGACTCAGAGCTTTCAACTACTACATCCTCAACACTGGTCTTGTCCTTTTCATCCAGATCATCCAAATCCACTTCATGGCAAACCAAGGTTTCAGGCCCAATCAGAGGCATTGTATCCTCCTCTTCCTTCAGTGGAGTATTTACAGTTTCTTCAGCTGGACTATCAAATTTCTCACTAGTCAATTCCTGAATGCCTTTGTTTGACTCTGCTATCAATGATGGCATTCCTTCATTTTCTATTTCAAAGTGTTGTTCAAAATTTAAGTTTTTCACTCCCTCAGATGCAACACAATCACTGGTCCTTTCTTGAGACATGCTATTTGTCATTTCCATTCCATTCTCAATTCTTGTTTTTTTCTCTGGTGATGAATGTCCCAGTATTTTCCGTTTCAACTTTTTTTCTTTTGAACATTGGTCAATTTCATCTTTAGTAGCAGAAGAAAAGTTTTTATTGTCTAGTGAAGGAAATTCTAGACTGTGAGTTTCTATATGAGATTCATTTCCTACTTCATCTTGACTAAATGATGAAATCTTGATAATTTCTAAAGAAAGATCTTTTGTCTTGCTTCGTCTCCCTTTTCCTTTTGGGGACTTTTCTGCCTCTTTCTTAACTTCTTCTGTTTGTTCCACTTTATTTCCAAAAATCTGTACTATTTGTTCATTCTCTTCAATATCTAATTTCAAAGTCTCAAAAGGCTGCATTTGAGTCCTATCGTTTTCCTTTAATACATGTGCAGCAATCTTTGGATTTTCTTCATCAAGTTTATCATCATTTAAACTTTCGTTTCTTTCTAGTTCTTCTTTAATATCAGGAGAAAGTTCTTCATTCATCAAATTCTTTTCTAAAAGGTCTTCTGTTTCACTATCAGATGAACAAGAGTCTGCAAGAAGAAATATTAGAAAAGTTTCTATTTTAATTACCAATGTAATTTTGTAATAAAAATTCTGCCAAAGACAAAAAAAAACCAAAAACAAACCACAAACCTTACTCATGTACCTCTAAATACCTTCTTACAGAAATTTCTGATATAAAATAAATCATATACTTGTGCAAAAAATATGTGTGGAGAAGTGTTTCAAGTTAAACTCCATGTAAAAATATATTACATAGAAAATATTACTATCTTAATTCTGTAAAAGAGCTATTTTGCAATTTGCACTATTATCATGCTTAGGCTATGATACTCCTTAGAAAATTCAAAGAACTAACACTTGAGATATGAAGTGACAAAGTGGTTTGATCTGAGATCTAGTGTAGGTAGTGATTAATAAATGTGATGGCCATTTTATGTCCTTAGGAATAAAATGTTCACCTATACTCTAATCATTCTACTAAAAATAATTCCGGAAAGAAAGACATACAAAATGAGCAATGCGAATTCTCAAAACTTAAGTACTATTTTGATTAAGAGACAAAGAAATCATTCTAAATCAGATAATTTTAAAAATAGTTTTAAGACTGTATAGGAACAGTGGTCAGCAAACCGCGGTTTGAACTCTGTTGACTAATGTTTGCTGACCACTGCTATAGGAGCTGTAAAATATAAAAATTCTGTCCACATGGTGTTTATATTGTAAAGAAGATCAAAAAGGCAAACTTAAATGTATTTTGTAAATAAAAAGATACCTAGTTTTATTTTGTGGTTTTACCATATACAGAATTTAGAATTCATTTGTTCTCATGTTAAAATATATTATACATTATAGACTTATGGTGTGGCTTCGTGGTTAGAGCGTCAGCCACAGTATGAAGGGTTGCAGATTGAATTCCTAGTCATGGGGACATACCTGAATTGCAGGTTCAATCCCCAACCCCAGTCAGGGGCATGTCAAGAGGCAACCAATCAATGTGTCTCTCACATTGATGTTTTTCTCTCTCTCTCTCTTAATCTCGTTCTACTTCTCCCTCCCTCCTTTCCACTCTCTAAAACCAACAGAGAAAATATGCTGGGTGAGGATTAATTTTTTAAAAAATAACCTCTTTTGTAAGTAGTTTAGCAAGACTATTATCTATAGTTTTATAGGTTATGCACTGCACAGCTCATACCACCTGAGATCTTTCACTCTGTGGACATGTTGCATTTGTTTAATATGGCAACCTTCCAGCAGATGGCAGTACAGAGAAGGAAGAATGCCCTTTCCTAACTGGCACACAAGCATTCTACAGGCTAACAGTAAAACTGTAGGTTCAATAGCTCTTTCTTGAAGGCACGAGCATTTTTATATATAAGGCAACTATTTAATGTTTCTTAAGTTATACAGAAAAACATAAAGATAGAAAAGTGGGGGAAAGGGTAAAAGCAGAATAAAATATGTTCACCTACACTCATCACAAAACATGTCTATACCACTTTAGTGTGTGCTCTTTGAACAAAGTCTCAGCTTTGCTGAAAGATTCTAGGGGATAGCACTGAATTACAGGAAACATGGTGCAAGCTTTGAAGGACAGTGCAGCACACAGTAGGATGCACATCTTTTCAACCTATCTTCTATTAAGAGTATTTCTAAGATATTGACAAGAAAAGGTATGCCTAAATTAAACTATCACTAGGTTTTAAGTAACCATGATATACTAAAGTAAATATTTTCTTCAAATCAAATTTAGTTTAAATTGCATATGAGATTAGAAACTTAGATGACCTTCTATGAACCTCAGACAACTAACTTTTTTTAATTTATATATTTTTTCTTAAAAATCAGTCCTCCTCAAAACTGAGCACCTTCCATCCCATTAACAAAGGTGAGCTGACTGCCATATTGCTGCGAGCAACTCTTATACCTGATTTTCCGTCACTGTTTGGAATCTTAGACAAACCATATGGCATGCTTGATGAAAGGGTGGATTTTAAAGGAGGTCGTCCCCGTTTTGACTTGTGTCTCTCTTCATCCCTCTTTTCATCTTTTTCACTGTCTTCTTTATTCTGGATAATAACAACAAAAAGTATGAGAGGACACATTCCTTATGAAAAATGAACATTCTACTTCTGCAAGGACAATAAAACTCAAAAAGTTTAGATATTTTATACGTTAATTTCCTAATCTGTGCTTATCAGATAATTAAAAACAAATTGTTGCCGAAACCGGTTTGGCTCAATGGATAGAGCGTCGGCTTGGGGACTGAAAGGTCCCGGGTTCAATTCCGGTCAAGGGCATGTACCTTGGTTGCGGGCATATCCCCAGTAGGGGGTGTGCAAGAGGCAGCTGATCGATGACTCTCTCTCATCGATGTTTCTAACTCTCTATCTCTCTCCCTTCCTCTCTGTACAAAATCAATAAAATATATTTAAAAAAAAAAAAAAAAAAAAAAAAAAAAAAAAAAAAATTGTTCTCTACCATATTTTATAATTATATGAATAAGATGGTCAATAATATCTAACACTGCAATTATATTGTGAAGGTCAGAGTTGGTGCATTAGAAAGTTATACAACTATTCAGGAACCTCTCTTCCTTCTTTTTTGCTATTCCCTGAAAAAAAGAAATATCTACCACAAAACAGACAAACATTAGACGAATCTCCACAGCAAAGGGAGAAAATTCAGTGTTTGGACAAGGATACAACTGTCCAACAAGTATACGTTTTAAAACTTAGTATTAACTTCCAAAATTTAAAAATCGATTTCAAGCTGTGCAGGTGGCTCAGTTGGTTGAAATGTTGTCCTGTATACCAAAAATGTTGTAGGTTCGATTCCTGATCAGGGTACATACCGAGGCTGTGGGTTCAATCCCCAGTCAGGGTGTGTTCAGGAGGCAACTGATCAATGTTTCTCTCTCACATCCATGTTTCTTTCTCCCTCTTCCTCTCTCTCTCTAAAATATCAATAAAATATATCCTGAAGTAAATTTTTTTTTAAAGTCAGATTTTACATTTTTAAAAGTACTATTGTTGAAAATCCTCAAGTCTGGCAATCCTGACTGGATCCCATTGCAAAAGGGTTAGTTCTACCCTCTCTAGATGAGGAACATGTCCTTCTATTGGTCACTATCGGTCCTACTTTATCCCTTTTCCAGATAGCAGATATAGGCATATGATTTTAATGCCTATGTCCTAGGAGTCCCTGGTTTTTCTCCTTTCCTGAAACAACATTTTAATGTGTTTGCATTTTTAGCTTCTGGGTTATAACAGAAAAAATCACAATAGATTTAAAAGAATCAATATGATTTTTACAGTGGGGAAACAAATTTATAAACACACAATATGAGTAATTCCTGTGCCTATCATAAAGGATATGATCTATGAACTTACTTTAGTTTTTTTCTTCTGTTTTTTCTTTGGTCCACCTTTGTCCAAAGGCCAGATTATCCTATCAGCTTTCACCCATTCATCATACCTTAAAATAAAGAATATATTTTAAAAATTCAGAATAATAACTTATTTGAAATATATTCATCAAATAAAGCAAAGTGGGATAAACTGAAGACTTTGTTTCTACCGTGTTTCCTCCGAAAATAAGACCTACTTACAGGTTTCCTTCTGAGTGAAATATAAGGCATCCCCCGAAAATAAGGACCTCCCTAGGCTAAACATGAGAGATTTGGTCCACTGATTCTGAAAGAAATGGAGTCACAAGAAATTCACCAGGAAATTCAGGAATTGGATTGTTATGATGATGTTCCAGAAGATGATGACATGATTGTCATTGAATAAATGAGTAAATTCTTGATACTGTAGGATTTACAGTTTGTCTGGTTTGTTTTGACAACTACCGTACTACCATACCGTATACAGGTAATAAATTTCCTTTATTTTCATTCAACAATAAATGTGTACCGTATTCTTCTTCATGGAAAAATAAGACATCCCCTGAAAATAAGACCTAGCACATCTTTGGGATCAAAAATTAATATAAGACACTGTCTTATTTTCGGGGAAACAGGGTAGTGTTGGCAGAAATGTGAAGGGCATAGGGCTGGTCTGTTGGTAACATATGCCAGCTACAGTACTAAATGGTCTGTATACCTGCCATTAATAGGACAAGACAAGAGAGCTAGGCAAGCAAACTCCAAATAGATTCAAGACTGTTTGAACTGTTTTGTTTTCCACAGCTCCCACAGACCTGAACTTAATGCACTGGAATTCATTTTACTGACCAAATAATTTAAAGATAAGTCAAGTAAATTCAAACTTGTAATATGATTAGTTCCAGATTCATTTATGAAGTCCTTTTCAACTCTTTTCCTCACAGAACTCTCTCCAGCTTCTAGTATGTCTAATAAAATTATATTTTGAACTATGTCACCTCCAAAACTGAATTTTTTTTAGCGATATTTCCTTCATATAAGTTTATTCTATTTAGTTCAAGTTGAAAATTCATTTCTCCCATACCTTTTCCCTAATATTGGCAACACTTTTTAACATTAGTCAGCCCATGTTACTAATCAGGGGCAAAATAAAAAATTAAACTTTTTAGAATTAAATAACAGTTCTTACATAATGAAAATATATAGATATTTATAGAACTCTTATCACAATCCAAAATCTGAACACTGAAACAAAAAACTACAGGCCAGTTCTTGCTTTGAACTACGTCATGTTAACAGAAACCATACCCTCATTTTGCAACCCATTTACCATACAAAGCAAGGACATGATTCCAATATCCACAAGTTATGGTTGATATGGCATCACGACTACCTATATTATGGTTTGAAAACAATCTCTCTTGAATCAATCCCATATCTTCATTTACCAGGCTAAGTATCTGTACATTATGACCTTACTTAGAAGTATACATTTATTTGGACATTTACTAAGGACCTACCTAGCATGCCAGGTAGTATGTATGAGGAAATATCCTATCTAATAAAAGAAGGAATATACTAATTGACTGTTACACCCTCACAAAGATGGTGGTACCCATGGTCAATAAGAAGGGAATATGTTCATTGACTGCCACATTCTCAAAGATGGCAGTGCCTATAGCCACAAGATGGTGGTGCCCAGTTCTTTCAGGTCCCAGCTGCCCAGGGCTGGCCCAAGGCACAGGCAAGCCTCGGATAGCAGTTGCCCAGCTGCTTAGGGCTCAGGTAACCAGGGCCAAGGGCTGCCAACAGTGGCAGCAGCAGAGGTATGATGGGGGCGTCATCTTCCCCTGATCACTGTGTTGCCTCCTGCTTCTGAGGGCTCCCAGACTGAGAGGGGAGCAAGCCAAGCTGAGGACCCCCCCCACACACACATACTCCAGGGCATGTATTTTCATGCACTGGGCCTCTCGTGTAGAGAATAGAGAAAAGCAGGAAGGCTCTTGCAATCATGCAACTCGCAGTCTGATTTGAAAGACAGATAAATACTAAAACCAAGTATAGTCTGGTAAATACAATAAAAGGGTTATGTGTCTGGTTATGGGCTAACAAAGAAAAAATAAGTATCTCTGCCCAACTCTAAAATTCCACAGGACATATGAGACAACCAGCAAGCACAGGCCTGACCTGGAAGACAGCAAGTTATGGTTACCACCCTACGCCTCATAGGCACTTCCAGCATTAATAATGCCAACCAAAGGTGGTCCAAGAGTTTCTCAACTCAGACTAGTATTTCCCTCATAGCTTCACATGCCATCCTATTTTAGAAATCCAACCAGATCCTCTAGGAACTACAGTGGCTCTATGTCAATGAGCACACTAGAATTATAACAGCTTTTAGGAGTATGAAGGGGCAGTGAAAAACCATGAACCTTGTGAGTAACCAGTTAAGTAGCTATTTAGAGACTTAACTAGTTAGGAAGAATGCCAGCATATAATAAAATGTCTGTGAGAATGGTCATACAGTAAAATATTAAACAATTGAAAGAGAGAGATCATAGTAAGGGAAAATTCTAGAAAGCAGAACAGAAGAACAGACATACAAAGACAATAAATAAGAGTAGATGACTGAACTGAATAGAATCTGAGGAAAAAGAAGACTTCAATATGCCATAACTGCAAAGATAGCGAATCCAAGTTGGTAAGTGTAGGCTTTCCCCATGAACAACAAGTACATACAACAGTGAGGTAGGCAAGGTTTGTTTCTAATGTTTGTAGAAATGTGAAAGACACAAGCTGGTTTGAGGGGGGAAAAAATAGGTTTATATGCAATAAACCCATACTTGAGTAATATCTTATATATGATAAACCCAAACTTATTTAAAACGATGTGAGATAAAAGAAACCTAACTCACTAAAAAAAAAAGTTAACATTTACTTGTGCATTTGCTAAGTGCCAAGCATTATTGTAAGAGCACTCTGGTTCCAAACAAATACAGACCAAGCAGAGAGATTAAACACATAGCCTTTCTAAAGGAGAAAGAAAACTAGCCTGGTACCATCAGGTGGGCCTTGGTATTGCTACAGAGGTGATCTGGCGTACAGCTAGGTTGCATTGTTCTCCTGTTGAACATGGACAATTTCACAGAACATCAACATCAGACAAGTCTTGCAACATGAACTGATGAATCAAGACAAAAACAAAACCACCCCCATAAGGGTATGTAAACACAGAAAAAACGGGAACATTGTTCAACCCACAAAAATGACCAAACCTCCTTTTTTTCCTGACTGACTACAGCCTCTTTACCAATTTCAGCATTAACAATGGTTTAGTCTCCCCTCCTTATGGATAAAATTTATTATGATGACCGATCATAGAATTAGCCCTATGTCTTTACAGCTTCTACTATAGAGGAAAGTCCCATTTCCTTAAAACGCTTCCCCAAATCACCTAATAGAGGTTCAAATCTAAAACCTTCCTAACACTTTTCTAAAGTAATCAATTTAGAATTACTACAATGCCAATATAGTTTTGATTTCCAATAAATGTAGTAAACAAACCCATTTGCAGTTGGGAGCTATGGGCCTGGTTCTTTGCCCATACCTGCAGGATTTCCTCAGAGAATCCTGGGCCATGGCTGCCCCCAGAAGTGGTACTTACTCTGGGCTTTCATCTAACACCCTCTTATGGAATCGCCTCACAGCTCTCCATGCTGCACATTCTTCCTCACTACAAATGAGTAATGCATGCAACTTGTTCAACTACAGGTATGATCTAGGCAACTTTGGCTGGAGGTATTTGCTAGTAAAACAGTGGGAATATAAAACAGTAGAAATCTTGGAAATTAGGGTACAAGATGTGCTTTGTAAATATACATATACCATTTGCAATGGCTCTTCACAACATTAATTTGAACTTTTTGAATCTCTGAAAAGAAATTTCAATAGAAAGAAAATACATTTCTTGCTTACCTCACATTCCAACCATAGTAATGTACCAAATATAAAACTTCTCCATCATCAATTTCAGTGCTTTTAATACTGGCTTCATAGATTTTCTGTGTTTTCCCCCGTCCATATTTTACTTTTACTTTGGTTCCTGTTAGGCAGGGTTCCATATCTTCCTCATCTTCCTCTCCTTCAGAGTCACATTTGCTTTCAGTTTCTTCCCTGCAGTAAATTGTAACATTGATAATGCTACTAATAGTTTAATGGAGAACTAATATATGCTAAAAAAAAAATCCAACATATGCAATAGTCACAACCTAAATATTACCTTAATAGCATGTCAGTGGAGGAGGAGAAGAAGGAGGAGAAGGAGAAGATTTTTAATGGACTACTTACTAAGGAATTTATTTATTATGTAAAGGTAAACTATACCAAAAGTAAATCCAGACTTTTTAAAGGCCAATCAATAATATAATTAAATGATGATGTGGAGTCAAATAAATCACTTTTGTTAAACAAAATAAGAATAATATGCTCTGAAAGCCTTTGGAATTCACACTCAAATGTCACTTTATATGCAAAAATTATCTAAAAGTAGTTTGTAACTTCCTGCAACTAAATTTTTAAAAATCTACATTACTATTGCTTTCTACTCAATTTAGAATTGTTCTTAGCAAGACTACTTTTTGGTGAATAAAATAAAAAGACATCTACCTTAGTAACCATATCTTTGAAACTAGTTTACATTTTATTTTTTGGTTTCCCTATCCTAACAAAGAAACAATACTTGAATATCAGGTCACTAATTGAAACTGTGGGATAGCACCAGGAGAACAAAGCTTTGTGTATCTTTGTGTTTAGAGCACAAGTGCTATTAAAATGGTGCAACCAGTATATTTTCTACTTTTATTCATCTCCCATTAGCTTTTCTTTGTTTTGATAATCGGGTAAAATGAGATTCAAATTGGGAGGTCCAATAATATTTTTACAAATAATCATCCTGTGTTAATACTGCAAGGATTCCAAAGAGATCTGCATCAAAGGCCACTCTAGTGTCACAAGAGTATTATTAAGTGCTTAAGAGAAGGCATTGTGCTCTATAATAAACATAGAGCATTATTTTGAGGACCACTGGGCAGTCAGCATGAAATAGCTTTGACAACCCATTTGCCTTGAGAATGTTTTTCCTCCAAGGGCACCTTCCAATTACAGTCTGAAAGGGTAATTTCAAACACTATGAGAGAAACAACTTAAAACAAATTTCTACAGATATGTCTCCCATTTCCATGATTCCTGCTACAAAATGAGAATATAGATTTGCATATTCAAATTTTATTTTATAAAAAGAAATATTGTTCTTTATATATGTCTGAAATTTTCTCTAAAATATTTGTCCCATTTATATTTTATATATGCATTGTGTGTTTTCTGTATTATCCTAGAGGCCTGGTGCACGGATTTTTGCACTGATAGGAAATTAATTAGAAAGTGGTCCATGGGGCAGGACTGGGCAGCTGGACACGCCCTGGAGCCAACCTCCCATGGTCCATCCCTGGTCGGCAACACCTGGGGTGGCACTGAAGCTTGAAGGGTGTTTGCAGAGTGAGCGGGGTCCCTCTGGCTGGTGGGGTCCCTCAGCCTGGCCTGTGGGGATCAACTGGCAGTCTGACATCTCCTGAGGGGTCCTGGAGAGCAAGAGGCAGGCACTCTGCAAAGCTGCTGTCACTCATCAGCTCCTATGTTGAACATCTGCTCCTGGTGGTCATTGAGCATTATAGCTATCAGTCACTCGGGCTTTTATATAGGCATATATATATGTATATACATATAGATATTATATTAATTATACATTATATTACATTATATTGCTTATTAACAAAACTTCAAACTATAATTAAACCTACTTTTTAAGTTGTTCACCCTTGCTTAAATTTTTGTCCAAATATTTGAAATACCATTATACACAATTATACTCGACTTCAATTACTTCCTTCCACTTTTCTTAATCCTAATTATATTTCACTATAGAACTTTCCTTATTCACTAATCTAATTCACACACATTTGTGATAGCTCCCATACTTATTTGTACTGAATCATAAAATTACCTCTTCGCTCAGCAGTCATTCCTATTTTTCTAAATATTTGTCTACAGTTAACTTTCAGGTGGATGTCAGCCACTAGCTGAACACAGCAGGCTACTTTTCCCAAATTTTACTCAACAATCCAAATTTCTAGAAAACTTAGCATCATATAATGTAATAAATGAAAAATAACTATGGAGGCGAGCATATATTACAAGTGTGTTATGCTGTTGTTGCTGAATTAAAATTTTTTTTAGTAGTATATAAAAATTAGTAAATCTATTTGACAACACAGAAATGGCCAACTAAACACCGTCGGATATTACTTTGATCTAGCTAAACTGCCTAATTGGTAATTTTTAAGTCAATTCAGTCCATACATGTATATAATACACGGGGGGAAAAATACAGTTTTCACTCAACAGCAAACAAGATGGACATTAAAAGGCTGAAATTTATTGGTGTGATGTGGGGCAAGAATGTATTTTCCAAACAAGAATAAGGGGTGCATGCCACTTAATCTAATACAATAACTTGAAAAAGAAAAATGTCTTAGATAAAGCTAACACACAGAAACATCTGCTAGTATTGTGCACCCATGTGTTTGTTAGCTTTCCCACATTGTACCTTTTTTAAAATGGAATTTTTGCTGTCGCTGTTTCCTCTTGTCCACTTCCTCCATTTTTCTCCAGCTCCCTTCCCTGCTGTCAACTGCAGGACCTTTCTTTTGACTGGGTGGCGCAGCCTTCTTTGAGGCCACTGTTTAGGGCACAAGTGCTATTAAAATGGTGCGACCAGTATATTCTCCAATTCCGAAAGGCGATACACATCATCTTCACAATGTGTTTCACCTTCATTAGACAAGAGGAATGGAAGTCCCAATAAGAAAACATTCCCTCAAACCTGAATATCTAAGCAGGAACAGAGCACTGCCGTGCCCCAGACAGGTGCTTCTGGAGAACAAATATAAGATATTGTACCTCTCTTGGTTTTTCTCTTCCTCTTCATCTGAGTCTCTGTCAGAATCCTCCTGCTTTTTAATTTTCTTCTCCTTTTGCTTTGGTGTATTTTTTCTCCCCAGTAGTAGCTCATTTTCTTTTTTCTCTGCAGTTTCATAGTCATCACTCACATCCTTACTTTCTGTATCATTATCTTTTAATTTGTCTTCTGTTTTCTCTTCTTCAATTTCCTTTTTAATAGAATTTGCATCTCGAGCAATTCTCCTTCGTCCCTAAATAGAAAGTACAGAAGCTTTAAAATAGCTATCACTACAAAGGGGACAGGAACTGGACAACAGAAAATGTGTTTGTTGGCTTTTAAACATTCATAGCAATGACTAATCTCTCTAGCTTGAGAAATAACAGTGACAACGAAATTCCTATATACTTCTCTTCTTCTTGAAAATAAAATAATACCTCATGTAAATTACTTAATTATGTCCAGGACTACAGTGATCCTTAGCTACAGATTACTTAAAAAAGAAAAATGTCCGAAACTGGTTTGGCTCAGTGGGTAGAGCATCGGCCTGCAGACTGAAGGGTCCTGGGTTCGATTCCGGTCAGGGGCATGTGCCTTGGTTACGGGCACATCTCCAGTGGGGGGTATGCAGGAGGCAGCTGATCAATGATTCTCTCTCATTGATGTTTCTAACTCTATATCCCTCTCTCTTCTTCTCTGTAAAAAAAAAAAAAATCAATAAAATATATATTTTTAAAAATGTTCTTTGTTCATTACATTATTTATCTCACTTTTAGTGTTTCTTGACTACAATAAAAGTTTTTAAAGCAGCATCTAAATGTCAATGAGATAAGTTGATAATAATAAACCAACCCCCTAACTTATATATGGACTTTTAAAAAGCTCTGTGGTCTCTAATTCTTTGTTTTTTAAAGAAATTTATATTATCACTATAGCTATGTATGGCTACATTTTAAAAAGGACTGACTTGCTTCAATGGCCAAAAGTGAGCTGATTTCTTTGAATGAATATCTGAAGAGTTCACTGGGCCTGCATTGTATTGTTCTGCCCCAGTAGCTTCTACTCCACCTCTTGTTGCATACTTAACTGAACATGAAACTGGTGAGCTATTTAATTATTTCCTAAATTCTTCTTCAAGTCAACCTTTGCACACTGGCAGGATTCCCCTCTACTTGGAATAAAGTGAGGATAAAAGATACCAACAATTTAGGGAAAACTGAAACACTTTACAATTAATATCTCAGTATAACAAATATTTCCCCTAGTTTATGACTATGTATTAAACTTCAAAGGTAGAAATAAAAAAATTTATTTTTCTTTTCACAAAGAACTAAAATTTACATTCCAGGAGGTCAGGGACTTGATCATACTCACTTTCGTATTCTCAGATCTAGACAGTGCCTGGCACATAGCGATGCCCTTTAAATATTTGTATGTATGAATGAAAAGTTATTATCTATTAAAATTTAGGTCTATATACTTTTGTCCCTGAAATCCAAGTTTCACAAATCTGCTCTCTATATTCAGCTACATTAGAAGGACATTTTTACAAGCACATTTACTGCAGCTCTTCTTTTAATAATAAAAAATTGGAGAAAAATCTCTAGGAAGTAAATTTATGGTACATCTACAATACAGGACTCTACAATACAATACAATACAATACAATACAATACAATATAAATGCTTTACATGATATGAAGACGATGGTTGTACAAAAACGTGTAGTTAATGCCACTAAACTTAATATTGGTTATAAATTTTATGTTATGTGTATTTACCACAATTTCTTAACACACATTCTTGCCACAATTTTCAAAAATTAAAAAAATGAAGATAGACAAACCAATTTGGATGTTTCCTAAAATTCACTAGAAAATTCCATTTATTAGATGACCGTCAGAATAGACAGTTTTAGAAAATAGTTTCTAGTTAAATAAAAGAGAAGGTGATTTCAACTTCCTCTTTCATCGATATGATTTCACTAAAAAATAAGATGTATTATAGTAACTGAACTTTGATAGTGTGATAAATTTTCTTTCTCCTAAATTTTAATAAATACTATTATGTAGACATCATTCATCAATGACCAAAACAGTAAGTGACAATTCTTATAGAGGACTTATAGTTATGGAGAGGAAGAGTAGAGTTAGAAGATAAATCCAGTGTGCACATGACTAGAAAACAAGGCAGATCATAAAAAAAAAAATGGCCACAAGCACTGTACAATATGCTATCGAGTAACACAGAGGAAAGATTCCACCTGGTTGGGAGCACAGGCGTTGTAAAGAGGAGATTCATTCATGCAACAACTATTAAATAAGTCCTCATTTTGCATCAGGCACTATTCTAGATGTCTGGGAACTGTCAATGATTAGAGTAGACACTAGTCCCTGCTCTCCTGAAGTGTGATTCTAGTGCAGAGAGGGGTAAATGAAACAAGGTATACTAAACAGAATAAATGTTACATATAAAAAGATCAACGTTAGAGGGAATGTGCAACGAATATTTGACCTCAGATGAGAATGACTTAAACAAAAACAGAAAACAACAGGAGAAATGATTTCTCAGATAGAAAAGATAATAAGTGATATATTTAGAGAAAGGTAGCTAGATTAGCCAGGCTAACACACATAACTAAATACTGGAAAATAAATTAGGTTCATTAGAGTATTTTTGTATGTATCTGAATGTGTCCATAATAAAAAAATAGTTTAAGTACTTACACGTGGAGATTTTAATTCTATTTCTTCTCTTTCACTTTCACTGTTTGAATCAATATTTTCCTCGGGTTCACTCTTTACTTCTACTAAAGGCATTTCTTGGTCTAGTTTTAGAGTCTCTTCCATTGATTCTTCTAAGTCTTTTTTTTCCTCTTTTACTTTTGGTTCATGGTGGTGAACAGTTCTGAACTGAATATTTGCAGAACGGCAGTACTCTTCAAAACCATAGAGATACCTAAACAAACAGTATTTCCTTTTGATAAATCTTAGTCTTTACTTTTAACTTGACTACTGTATTATTAAACACACATTTTTAAAAAGTAAAAGTCAAGCCTTTCTTTTTGTAAACTACTTTTTCTATATTACTAAATTATTGGTGTTTTAAAAAGAATTATAAACAGAAACATTGATCATAAAAAAAAATTCCTAAAAAATATAAGCTTGTGATAACTGAACATAGTCATTGTGGTTTTGATCTGAAAGTTATTCACCCAAAAGATTCAGCTCCATAACATTTACCATCATTTTAGATAATAAATGCTGCCTACATTCCTGATTTTGGAAAGGAAATTAGGACAACACAAAAAATGGAGCACAGCAGACTTGGTGCACTGAAATTACTTTCAATCACAACCTATTAACCTAAACTTTTTATACACTTTCTCTAACTTTAATGTTTTTGTTAACCAAATAAATGAAAAATATCCCCTGTAAATATGTATTATTTGATGAGTAAACAATGCTACTTACTTTCTATAGGCAGTTTTTACATTGTAGGAAGCAGCTGAATTCAAAATAGGAATTCCAAGGTCCATATAAATTTGCTTCCATACAGCACCACTATCAATCTGGAAAATTAAGTTTTTATTTGTTATGATTTGCAAAGGAGATCATCTTTATAGTAATATTCTATATTACAAAAATGCGCTTTATCATCTAAAGTACATAAAACAGTGAAACATTAGGTAATTTAACTTGTCTTCATTTCCTTACTTACTTTGTCACATCCACCCTGATGATAAACCAGTCTAAAGAGTTTGAAGAGATTGAGATCTTTATAGCCCAAAACAGGTGGTTTGTTGATTGGAGTACCTATTTTTTTATGGAGGGTAGAAATAATGTTTAATCAAATGGAAAAAACTAAGGTAAAAAAGCTATCAATTTCTAATTTCCCAAATTTCATTAATCAGTGGATATATTTAAAAACCTTAATTTTTTAATGAAGACAACACAAAATATTTATATTCTTGTGGTAGTCTTTAGATTTACTTCCACAAATCATAAAATCACCTCTCTAATTACCACTGAATTGGGTAAAACTAAATTAAACCTTAGGACTCCAGGTGTAGCCAATAGTGTTGTTGGTTCAAAAGCTTGGGCAAGAATACACACAATGTAAAGGGTATATTTTAGGCCATGATTCCATTTTCTCTGTTTTAACACAAATGTTAAAACTATTAGCAGTGATCCTAATGATGATTTCTGAAGGCCACAGTGTATGCAGGACAACTTACCTAAGGGTTTCTCAGAACTAATGTAACTTCAAGAATTATGATGATTTCTGAGGGTTCTATTAACTTTTATTTTTTTTAACTTCTAAATAGAAATCCTATTCTATTAGATAGGAACTGATCTCTTATTACGTTTAATTTGTTGAGAACAAGGATCAGGCTAGTTTACTTGCCACAAAGAGAGTATTAGTTAATTAATGGATATGTAGATTAACATTATGTCTGTTCACTTTTTATTACCGAAATATTATATGTTTTGGTTTTACAAGTTCCAAGGAAACTAAAATTAATTGTACCAAAACTATTTCCCTATATATTTCTGCTCAAAATAGATTTGAACATTGTTTTTATTCCCAAGTACTTAATTACTGTCAGGTATTACTTTAAATCCAAATCCATATATAATATACCCATGATTCTAACAAAAACAATGTATAAACCTAGAATTTAAAAGTGTAAAAGGAATGACTTCTTTTAATGAATGAGCATGAAAGTACCTCTGTCTTCCATAAACTTATAAAGCTGTTGGAGGAAGTTGTCCCTCTCTTCAGGATCAAGTTCTTCCTCAGGCTGTAAAGGTAAAATATACAAATATGTAGAACAATGAGTAGGATGAAATACATGACTTCTTTTTGTTGTTGTTTTGTGAACTCAATGTAAGGGGATAAAATTTTAATGAAGGTAGAAATAGGGATTTCCTCAAAATACTACAATGCCAGATTTTGTCATATTTTGATAGAGCTGATTTGACGCAACTGTCAAAATATAATTATTTACCCCCAAAATAAAAGAATTTAAAAAATATCAATCTCTACCCTTCATGCCATTTATCACTCTAACCCTACCCTGAGTATTATTACCATAAGGACTAAGATTAGCCATGAGAAAAAGGCTCAAGAATGAAATGGGCTCAAAGTGTTTTCAACTCACTTGGTTTTTATTTTGTTTTTAATCTATTAAAATATCATGTGACCTGTACAAAGAGATTGATAGATGAGCACACTAATTACAAATGTATTTATTATAAAAACAACCCACACAAAAACATCAAAATTTTGTTATTGTTGAATGAATATAACCCAAAGGTTGCAAAGTTACATTGCAAAAATTTTTGTTTGGAAACACCATATTTGTAAAAACTTTAAATGCCTTGCCCTGGCCAGGCGGCTCAATTGATTGGAGCATCTTTCTGTGCAACTGTTCCATCATCCATTGGGACAGTTACAGAAGGCAACAGATTAATGTTTTTTCTCCCTCTCTCTCAAATCAATAAAAACATATCCTTGGGTGAGGATAAAAAAAAATTTTTAAGCCTTTAAATGAGTCATATAAATTGTTTTGCCCCAGACTCTATCCTCCCGTCTTATCACACTGGCCTGCTTTTCTGATTTGCCTAGCATCTGTATTGACTTTGTGATCTCTGAAAATAAGACAATGAACATTTTCTTATGAAAGAAAACTAAATAAAAAATTGCTCATTCATTGGGAGACGGTGTAGAGGAACAAATGAAAACATTCTTGATAAAGCAACTATTTCTATAAATACCTATTTAAGTGTAACTTTTTACTAATTATATAAATTAACGATTTCTTCTTATGCAGCTTAGGTTTTTGGCTCTAGTAAAACAACTGGTTATGAGTTTCAATAAAATATTCCTTTTTCAGATAGGCTACCTGTAAACTAGTATTTCAGAACATTCTTTTTTAAATTTTTTATTGATTTTTTACAGAGAGGAAGAGAGAGGGATAGAGAGCTAGAAACATCGATGAGAGAGAAACATCAATCAGCTGACTCCTACACACCCCCTACTGGGGATGTGCCCGCAACCATGGTACATGCCCTTGACTGGAATCGAACCTGGGACCTTTCAGTCCGCAAGCCAACGCTCCATCCTCTGAGCCAAACCGGTTTTGGCGGGAACATTCTTATTTAAAATTCATTCAGAATGATTTATAAATTGGAGTTCTTTCAGTTTTATCAAATATAAAGAAACAAGTCAAAATTCTACTAAGCCTCAAAATAGCAATTTACAAAGTTAATTGGAGTCATTAATAAATGCTCAAATCGCCGAAACCTTTCCCTTTCTCTGTGTAAAAAAAAAAAAAAATCAATAAAATATATTTTAAAATACTAAATGCTCAAATCAACTGTAATTGAAAAATAAATTGTTTTATTTTGCTAATCTTCACCTGAAGATATTTTTTTCATTTATTTTTTTTTTTAGAGAGAAAGGGAGGGGAAGAAAACATTGATGTGAGACACACACATTGATTGGCTGAGTCCTACAATTGCCCAGATGTGGCCAGGAATCAAATCTGCAGCCCAAGTACATGTCCTTGACCAGGAAGTGAAACTGCAACCCTTTGGTACTGGGGCTGACACTCTATCCATTGAGCAACATTGGCCAGGGTAAAAAGTAAATTTTACAAGATAAATATATATATATATATATTAAAAAAAAGTATTTTTCCCCATGGGAATTACAACATCTTGCTTTTGCAAAATTATTAATACAACTGCCTATCAGGGAAAACGCTTTGTCTAACACTATGCTGTACACCTGAAACTAATACAAAATAATACTGAATGTTAACTGTAACTGGGGGGGGGGAAACCTGCCAATGAGTTAACTCAAGGGAAAAAGAAATCTAGTAGCCAAGAATCATTTCAGATGTTAATTTTAAGGACTTTCAGTATTGGGGGGAAAACAAAAGCACTTTAAGCCAGACTGGCTCTATGCTTTGCTTGGGCTTTGTAATCACAATATTCTCTCCTCAGGCTAACAACTCATTTCCAGTATTTATGATTATACAGAATTCAAATAAAACCATTATATATATATATATATATATATATATATATATATATATATATATATATATATACCTAATATGCAAATAGATCTAATGGCAGAACAACCAAACTGATCGCTATGATGTGCACTGATCACCAGGGGGTATGGGCAGAACATGGTGGGCATCAGCAGCAAATAGCAGAGTGTGGAACATGGAGGATGAGGGCTGTGGCAGGATGGTGAGCAGGTGAGCCAGACCAAGGTGGGGCGCCAATTGCTGTCATTAGGGCGAGCCTCTGGTGGTTACTAAAAATTCTTTGCTCCCATACGCCCGTGGTCTCACCCAGTGCTTGTATCTGCTGCCGCCCCTTGCACTAGCCCCAATAACCCCTCAGGGCTTCTTCACTCCCTCTGCTCCTGAGGGGCGATAGGGCAGCAGCCACCGCTTGCACCTGCTGCTGTCGCCAGCCCAAATCATTCTGTACCATCAGCGGTGCAAGTGGGGCTGGCGGCATCAGCATGTGGGAGCGGAAGAGCAGGAGTGGGGCTGTCAGCAGACATGGGACTGCGGGGGAGGGCCGGGGGGAGGGGCTAGGCGGGTGTGTGGAAGATGGGCCGAGACCTGCCCATGTCCACCGCAGCCTCTCAACCCACAGTTCCTTTCAAGGTGCATGAATTCATACACTGGGCCCCTAGACCAGAATATGTAAAAACCATTTTTTAAAAAGGCACTGATTTGTAATCAAAGTTTCTTCCAAAACAAGTAAACAAAACAAAGCCATCAACTGCAGATTAGGTATTTATTAAGGTTGTTATCAACCATTTGATAAATTCTTAGTTACTGAGAATACTAGAGGCCCAGTGCACGAAATTCATGCACGGAGGGGGGAGGGGCTCAGCCCATCCTGCACTCTCTCACAATGTGGGACCCCTCAGGAGATGTCCAACTGCCAGTTTAGGCCCAATCCTACTGGCTCTAAACGTCAGTCGGACATCCCTCTCATAATGTGGGACTGCTGGCTCCTAACTGCTCACCTGCCTGCCTACCTGCCTGATCACCCCTAACCACTCTGCCTGCCTGATTGCCCCTAATTGCTCACCTGCCTGCCTAATCGCTCCTAACCACTCTGCCAGCCTGCCTGATTGCCCCTAACCGCCTTTACCTCAGCCCCGCTGCCACAACTTCATCTGGAAGGTCATGCAGCTGTCCAGTCTAATTAACATATTACACTTTCACTAGTATAGATAGAATTTTCTTTTTAGCTCTAGCTGGTTTGGATCAGTGGATAGAGCATTGGCCTGTGGACTGAAGGGTTTCAGGTTTGGTTTGGTCACGGGCATGTGCCTCAACTGCAGGCTTGATCCCTGGCCCTGATAGGGTGTGAGCAGGAGGCAATCGATGTGTTTCCCTCACAGCGATGTTTCTCTCTGTCTCTCCCACTCCTGTCCACTCTAACAATCAATGGAAAAATATCCTTGGGTAAGGATTAACTAAACAAAAATAAGAATCTTTATATTTTAAAACTAGAGGCCCTGTGCACGGATTTATTTGTAGCCGGGGTTTGGGGAGAGGGGGTGGGATGGGAGGGTAAGAAGAGGGGTTGCCCCTCAGTCTGGCCTGCACCCTCTTGCAATCTGGAACCCTTCGGGGATGTCTGACTGTGGATTTAGGCCCTAACCACTCTGCATGCCTGCCTGGCCTGCAGGGATTGGGCCTAAACTGGCAGTTGGACATCCCCAGAGGGATGTAGCAGTGTATCAAGTGGCAGGTGACCAGGGAGGAGCCCGAGCAGGGGCAGATGCCATGTCTCTCACTCATCCGGACCTGTTGTGCTTGCTGCTGCTGCCTCAGAGTTGGGAGAGGCTCCTGCCGTGCTTGCCAGCTGTGAGCTCAGCTTCTGACTGAGTCGCACCCCCTCTGTGGAAGTGCACTGACCACTGGGGGCAACTCCTGCATTGAGAGTCTGCCCCCCTGGTGGTCAGTGCATGTCACAGCGACTGATCATTCCGGTCATTCAGTCATAACAGTCACTTAGGCGCGCGCACACACACACACACACACACACACACACACACACACACACACACACACACAGTAGGTCCTTGGGTTACATCGGAGATCCATTCTTACAGTGGGATGTAATGTGATTTTTGCCATAAGTCAGAACCCACCTATATAAGCACCTACATCACTCACATGGAGCGCATACACAGCAGTAATGAAATGAAACTAAAAAAACCTTAAAAGATAACAATTCCTGACCTTTACTTGTGATAAGTAAATAATAAAAAACAAAGCACATATGTACATGTGACGAAATGATGGATCTTTTCTTTCTTTCTTTTTTTTTTTTTAATAAATGAATGGGAGATGGCGACTAACCACATAACCTGAGGACTACCTATATGTTTTTATTGATGTGAGAGAAAAATCAACATCAGTCTGCTACTTCCTGCATGTCCCCCCTGCTTGGGATGAAGCCTGCAATCCAGGCATGTGCCCTAACCTGGAATTGAACAGTGACTTCCTAGTACATAGGTCAACACTCAACCACTGAGCCACAATGGGCAAGAATATAGTTTTATTGGTAAAAATTAGTGAAATAAATGCACACGATTTAAAAATCAGTGGATGTCAATGTCCAAAAGTGTATTAAGTTCCATAAGAAACCATGGCCATAACTTTTAAGTTTAGGTGCAATTATCAGGTGTAAAAACAAGATGTAAATGAATAACTTTTACTTATAAACAAATGCCTGCTTGAAATGAAATTTG